TAGATATTGAGTGTTTCCAAACATTCATTCATTTTCTTGCCGTTCATCATTATAGCACCGTCGATTGATATTCCCACAAAACCATTAAGGATTTTTGATATCCATAAATCCATAAAGTCAAATATTTTTTGTTTGTTCAGGAACTGAACAAACATCCACACTATATTTACAGCGATTAAGAAATATTCAAATATATGTCGTAAAGCTACCGGCGAACTTAAAACCTGCAAAAAAATATAATTTGCAATATCTTCCTTGTTTTACTGAGTACACATGCTAGGTTATATTTATATTGGACATTACTTGAATAACAGCTGATTATTACATTTTAAAAATCCCCAACGAGTCACACATGTGTGGCATCCGTCAATCCTTGGTCCCAGTGGACTATACGTGGAATTTTTCCCAAAATCGTTGCACATCACTTGAAAAAATGCAAATGAAAATTTAAAATTATTTCCATGACGTCGCAAAATAGCTCAGGTTATACATCTTGACAATAGGGATGTTCTATACGACCCTATATTTAGAAGTATCGATACTTTTGTTTCCGATACCCGATAATCTGGATCGATATTTTTATATACTACACTTGGGTGTATCGATACATTTCACGAGTATCGTCATCTTTCGATCCGGACTATGTCAGAAAGAGTGACTAACTTCAGATTACTTTTCTTTGTTTCCTTCCGCTGGATATCGAAAATTTTATTCTAATATTTTAGAGTATCGATACTTCCTAAAACGATAAGAATCGATACATATCGATACTTTTCGTGGATCTAAACATCCCTAGTCTTAGCAGCTTGTCGTTCTTGTCAACTGGGCTGCAGGGTACGGTGTTGCCTTTACTATCTTACTTTTTACTAAAATCTTATGACAAATAAAAGCTTCAAATGAAATATTGACGAATTTGAACGGATATGCATAGAATTTAGAATATAAATTAATATTGCAAATTTCAGATTGTCTATGCATGGACTTGAACCGGATTTTTCGGTATTTTTACCGAAAAGGGAAAAGTCGAAAAAACCGCGACACGAGCCCAGGAGTAAATAACACCCATACATTTGTACCCCACCCCAATATCATGAAACGTTAGATCAGAGGCAACAATAAAACAAGGCATACCAGCAGGTGTGCGAAACGGTGCTTCCTGCCGCACTTTCTCTCACCAATACAGACGTTCAGACATATTTCCAGGCTGCTCCGAACTCCAACCATACATCTTCCGGGCCAGCGGCAGCCCATGTTCTCCGTCTTCTACCGAAAATCCGGAATTTATGAGTCTAACAGGTGGGTGGCGGTGAAGTCATCTGAACCGAGCTAAGTGGAAATGTATGGAGGGTAAATTCTGTTCGTGGCAGCCCGGCCTAGCTCAAACACCGGCACATATTGCAGAAGGAGCGGATCCTATTATAGCCATGTTGCCAGGTGGTAGAGTCAGACATGTATACAACGCCGTATTAGTAGTGAAAGGGGTGCACGAACAGAGCAGTTTATTTTCTCAGTTATTTTAGAAAGACTTACGTACTTACACTGCAGCCCAAAAGTTTCCGGATCTATGATGGGCAATAGTTGAAAATAAATAAGTAATTTGAATAAAATGCATATTAAAAAACCAGCCTGTTCATTAAACAAGTTAAAATTATGAGAATATTCTTCCGACTGGAAATATAATAAGTGACATATAAATCCGAACACCCAGTTTAAATAGTTTTATTTTAATAAAATTTTGTATTAGTACTTAATGAAGCATAATAAGTAAATGATAAAAATTTGTGGATGTGTGGATGCACCCTGATGTGCTACGCATTCTCCAACGCGCCTAGGCATGCTTCTTATCAGGTGGTCAATGTCCTCCTGTGGTATCTCATTCCAGGCAACCACCAACTCCTATCGAAGTGTTTCAAGAGTCTGAGGAGGACGTTGCAAATTGAGCAATCTCCTACCCATCATATCCCACACGTGCTCAATTGGGGATAAGTCGGGAGATCTTGGTGGCCATAGTAATAATGTGACATCATTATGTTGAAAGAAGTCTATTGTGACTCTTGCAACATGTGGTCGGGCATTATCTTGTTGGAAAGTTGGATCTGCCAGGGTATCAAGATAGGGTAAAAGATGGGGTTCTAGAACTTCGTGGATATAACGCAGCGCGTTCATGTTACCTCTGATGAAGATTAAAGGTGACCTGGAACCATAAGCTATAGCACCCCAAACCATAACTCCAACAGTGTGAAGAATATGTCTTTCAACAAAAAACTGTGGATTCCTCCTTTCACCACGTCGCCTTACAACCCTGCCACGACCATCGTGCATGCCTAAACAAAGTCGAGACTCGTCACTAAAGACAATACTGTTCCATTCCTGATCCCAGAGTGACCGTTGTCTGCACCACTCAAGGCGATTACGTCGGTGTTCTCGAGTTAAAGGGAGGACCCAGTGTGGCCGGTATGAAAACAAGCCAAAACTTCTCATTCGTCGGTAAACACTTCGCATGCCAATAGGTCTTCCGTGTTCTGCAAACCATTCATTTGCAATGGACCTGGTAGTGGAGAAACGGTCCCTTAAGGCCAATAATCTTAGGCGGCGATCTTCACGGTCTGTTGTTCTACGGCGGCGTCCAGTGCCCCTTGCTCTTTGCGTACGGCCTTCTCGAAGCCATGCCTGACAACACCTAACCACTTCTTTGCACTCTAACTGCAATTGCCCGAAAAGAAAGTCCAGCTTCCCGAAGTCCCACTATACGGCCCCTATCAAACTCACTATGTTGACGAAATCGTACAGGTCTCCGTACTCTAGGCATCGTAACCGATCGTAAAGGATGTCAAGAATCAAAATCCGCCAACGTTGATTCTTTACTGCGGCTGAAATATTCATTTTTAGAGCGTTAGTGAATTAAAAAAAAGCAGTATAAAAACCGGAATGTCCAACTGATGAGGCTGAAAATTTTTTCACTTGTTATTTACAGTAAGATAAATACATTCACCAACTTTTATTAAAATAAAACCATTTAAACTGGGTGTTCGGATTTATATGTCACTTAGTATATTTAAACGATAATGAAACTCCTTCATCGCAAGTTTTCCATCCTGCTGTCAAAACGTAATACGTTTTTACTTGAAAACGGAGATGGAGGAACTTCGATATCTTTCAAACATTTCCAATTTTTTAGTTAATTGATGAACAGCTCAAAAAAGCTTGCCTTTTGAGAATATGTTTTTTATTTTGTTTATTTTTTGCTCTTTAGTATTGATGATGTCAAATAAGTAGTGTGGCAATTTCTAAATAACTCTAGTACTTTTTTATTAACAGGACTCCATAGAACGTTCTACTTTATTTGTATTATGAAACTTTGATTGATATAATTATTTGATAAATCCTATTTGCTCAACGTGTTCCTCTCATAATGCGCTTCCGTTTTATACCCATATCATAACGGTGATCACGAAAATTGTAAACCGCCATTCAGCGAACGACAGTCATATTGGATCTAGAATGACGTCACTTTGCTTATTGCGTTCCTCTCGTCAGACCCTTTCATTTCATGTTATACTGCGAAAAATGTGATTCGCCATTTTGCCGCGGGCGCCATATTGGATTTAGAAGGAGGTCAATTTGTTTCTCTAATAAAGCCCTTACATTTGATGTCCATATCATAGGAGTTACTATGGAAATGACGAATCGTGATTTTGTATGCAGTTGATACATTTTGCATGATTTTGCAAAGTTTCAGCTCATTTGGTCAAGGCGCATTCTCACGGTTCGATTTTAGTTGATCAACTTTAGTGGATCAACTAAAGTCGAATGAGAATAGCTGTGAGAACATATGTTTCAATTTTAATCGGTCAACTTTTGTTGATTCTACAAAAGATTGATCGATTCAAACTCTATCACGTTTGAAGCGTCTGAACATTATCTCGCCAGTCCGCTTAAATTGTTGTCATTCAAAACAGCAAAATGAGTTTGAAGTGGTCAGAAAGTGTTATGTTCAAATTTATAGAATTATATCATAGCCATGACTGTATTTGGAATCATAAACTGGACAATTACAAAAATAGAGAAGCTAGAGAAAATTGCATTAAATATTAAAAATAAAATAAAAACAATACGAACCATGTATAAAAAAGAATTAACAACAGTTTTGAGATCTAAAGAAAGTGGAACAGGCACTGACGATGTGTATAAGCCAAAGTTATTCTGGTTTAAAAGAGTGGATGCATTTTTGCGGAGCGTGTCAACACAAAGAGATAGCTGATCAAATTTGGTAAGTATCATTAATAGCTAGATTTTTGCTAGAAACTTTTTAATTATAGCTTACATAGAAATTAACATTCATATTGAAATAGGAATATATTGTCCGAATATATTATATATAATTTGACCTTGCCAGAGTACAGCCCCACAACTTATAAAGTAATCTGAATATCTGTCACGTTTCTTAGCAGCTTCTTGTGTGTAATTACGAGCCCCAACGTTATATCGTAATGCCTTTAAACCATTTGCTTCATGAATTTCTGATCTCCAAGAACCTGGTATAATCCTAGCTGCATTAAAGTCCTCTACGTCCAAGGCGCCCATTTCCGTGTACTTTTCACTCGAGGTAGTTCTTAGCCAACTGTGTAATGCACACGCTGTTTTAACCAGTATATCCACCTTATCAATCGCAAGAGGTATCGGCTTTTCAAATATTCTAAATCTCGAAGCCAAAATCCCGAATGCATTCTCCACGATAGGCGGTAATTAAAAAATTTTGTTTTCTGGATCGGCACGTAGTTCTTCCGTGTGGTTTTAAAATGAACGTTTTGAGCGGAAAAGCGTCATCGGCGACAAATACTCCATTATTTGGAAAATTTAACATATTGGCTTGCAGTGTTGCGTTTAGAGATGAATTTGAACAAACTGCTGCATCATTGGTACGGCCGTTTGTACCTACATCAATGTAGCGAAAACAACAATTAGCATCAACAGCTGCAAATAAAATAATATAAAGGTGCCTTTATAATTAAAATATTCTCATCCACTATGGGGTGCATTACGTATAATAATATGTTTGCCATCCAGAGCCCTGCAGCAATTTGTGAAATTCCATCGGCAATAGAAATTATTTTGAATTTCTTTCCATTCTTCTTCTGTTTGTGGTACCTGCAACAATAAAAACACATAATGATCTGAAACATAAAACATCTGACATTATTTATCATTGAAACATTTTGTCCCAGATTTTATAAAATAATGAAAATGAAGAAGAGCCGCAAACGGGAATACATGACGAATTGAGTTTTTCTGCAGTTGAAAGTGAGCCTGTTAATAATAATACAGGGGCGTCAATAACTCCAAAAAGTACATCTTCACAATTTCGTCCTTGACGAAGCCAAAAGCGCAAAGCTGTGACAAATGATGATATATCTGCCATAAACAATGCAATAGATAAACTTGAAAAGTATCGCAACAAAATCAAAAGGCTTCGGGAGATGAATTTGATGCTACCGCCCTTAATGCACTTTCTTGTCAAGAAAAAATACAATCCCTGATCACGAAAGAACGTCTAAAGGTTCTGTTAAAAAATACAGCTAGTCATATAGCATCATCACCTTCATCCCACCCCCCGAACAATTGGCTACAGTAATCTGGAAATTTGGAACAATTCAGCACCGACATCACCTGAATTTGTAGAACAATCTAATTATGCTGTATCTTCTGCAGTGGAAGAAACATCTGACATTATTTATCAAGCATTTGCTGATATATAAATACATAAAAATTATTTGTTTTGTAAAAAATATGCTTTATGTTAACAATATTTTGTGAGTTTGACTAATTAAACATTCTATTAGTTCTTACCTTCATAAATTCTTGCAGAGAATTGTATATTTCTTGGCAGACATCTTTAATGAAATTTGAGATAGTGTTTTTCGGTACTCTGTACATAAATGCCAAAGGTGATTTCTATATCCTTCTGTATCCTCCAAAGCAAGATCTTTTAGCAGAGTTTCTGAAACACCACATTCATTTCTTCTTTTAATCCAATTTTGTATCCAGAAACGGCGTTTTTTATGTTCTTTATTCCGTCTCAACATAATTTTCCTCAGCTGCTGAATCAGTAAACTGGTAGTAACATTTATACTTTCGCGTGTAACTACACTTCGCGCCATTTTATTAAAACTAGTTCAACTAAAATCGAACCGTGAGAATGCGCCTTTAGAGTTAACAGGTTCAAAATTCAGTTCCCCTTTGGTGAAAAAGACCTCTTCGTATAACTCTGGTGGTGCGTTCTTTAAGAACAAGTATTTAAAGCTACTCACACGTTGTTTTTACTCTACCTCTGTGAGGCACCATTTTATGACTTCCTGATCAAGTTCACTCCGAAGAAATTCGATCGGACTGAGATTGGCGATTCAGAAAAGGGAAACCTTTCGTTTGCAATTATAGTCGATTATGCTTTGAGCGTACAGCCTTTGCACAACTTAGATATGCGTTTCTTAATGGATCAGCTTTACTGCTCTCAGCGTCTCTTTTTTTGATGTTATGGTATATTCTTAAACGTTCTTTTTCTTTCTGATTTTCTGGCCACTATTTTCTTTCCAGTAGTTGACACATTCTTGTGTAAATGTTAAACATGATCGGATATTTCAAGAGCATATTCACAAATCTCTGAACACGTATGGTTCATTCGTGTTAGAAACCGTCAGCAATTTTACGCTGATTTTCATGATGCGTTGTATTCAAAGGACATGGTAAATACTAATATTAATCGATTCGCAGGAAGACAAAAAAGAAGAATTGATTTTGTTATTTAACAATGAATTGTTCATTTTAAGATTGGATTGAGGGTCGATTTCACCAACATTAATATTATGGACCAATGGGAAAGTACCTTATCGAAATGCAATTTGACAGAAGCTGTCAAAGGTCTCTGAATATTAGTGATTTCTATTGAAATATTAAATAACATCGTGAAAATTCGAACAAGACCACTTTTTGATTCCAACATGATGCTTTTGTACAGAAAAAACAGAACAACTTTCATGTATTTTGATATATGTTATAGGTTTACATTTAACAATCCGTTATCCCCTTCAGCGAATGGGAATGCGGCAAATTTTGTAGCTATTAAATTTGGCAGCAGATTTGGACGTTTGTTAATGCATGGCACTCTCGAATTTACCAACTTCAATATACTAAAAGTTATCATTACATACCTGTTGAATAGTGTGGATTTGTCTGTATTTTGCAAGAAAATAGAATATAAAATGCATTCCATCCAATTCCTCATCTTCCTTTACGTCATAATAGTAATCATTTATTAATTTATGGGTTAATGAGTTTCTTCAAAGCAATAAAACCATTATGTCCTCTCCATCCTAAAACACAGATAATATTTGTAAGGCGTGTCAATCCCTACATCTCCCTGATGCATAATGCAATTACTATGAACATAGACAAAAAATTATGAAAAATGTTTCACAGATAATGTCGTTTAAGTCCAAAAATCAAAAAAACCAGTAATGTTTATTGTTTGTCTATTTTTCTTTTTTGACTGGCGGGGATACCTATCTGTCACTCGCAGGGTTGCCAAGTCTAACGACGATCACGTCCCGGTTTGAATTTTTTTCGTGAAAATTTACTAGGTGTCATGATCATAAGCATCTTTGGTAGATTGATCGATCCGGAATGGGAAAGATCTCCTATTTATGAAAATATTTTTGGTATCATCTAACCGTTGCAATCAGCGCACAAACACTGTGACATATGATTTATAGCATAACCCGCTGCCCTATCAATACAAATTTAACATACAGGTCGCCTAGCCGTGGGGATGCAGTAGTCGGGATGAATATCACGGCAGCAACTGATGATTTGGGCATGTCTGGTAACAACGTATGACGTGAAACTTGCTAACTTTGAAGATTTTGTACAATTTCTTTGAAAATCATGAAAGATGTCTCTGATTTGGCAGTGTAATGTCGCAGCCAAATGGCAGTTACTCTTTCTGACACATTCCGGATCGAAAGATGACGATACTCGTGAAGTGTATTGATACTTCTAAATATAGGATCGTATCGAACATCCCTACTGTCAAGGTACCGACGGAGCTATATTGCGGCGTCATGGAAATAATTTTAGATTCTTATTTGCATTTTTCAAGTGTTGTGCAATGATTTTGGGAAAAATGCCACGAATAGTCTTATAAAGCATAGTAGAGTATATTTCAACAGTTGTCGGAACTTACTCGACTGAAACCAGGAGGGTGAAACGGGATATTAATGCACAATCTGGCAACCCTGTCGCACCCTCACAAAATGGCGGCTGATAACCACACAAGTCACCGTGTTGTCATTGAATAGCATGAAATTAAACCTTCAGAGTAAATAATAATAATAATAAATGTCTTTATTAATCAGCATACATCAGTGTGGGGAAGTTTAGCCAAATGGCTACTCTTACACTTAACCTCACTGTGTACGAAAGAGTAACACAGTTAAACTCGATACACAAACAAACAATAGTAATAATAAGAAAAAGAAACAAATGCACACTTGAACTATTAATATAATAATAATAATAATAAAGTGTCATAAAAATAAAACAAACCAACAACTCAAACACTGAGAGACGATTGCATCTCCAATAGCTGTTTTCCAACTGATTTCTTAAAAGAGAGTAAACTTTCTTGTTTGTTAGCCGCACTGACTGAATTGTAAAGCTCAACAGCATTATACGTGAAAGATCTCTGATATAATGAGGTGTAGTGAAGAGGAATATTGAACTATACGTATATATAAATAGGTCTCTTGGTAACGACTGTTTTATGTGCAAAAACCAACATATGAAACTTGAAAAGATTATTGAGCTTCAGCCACCCCAGCTCACAGATCTTGGATGTAACATGGCTATACCTACGAAGGCCGAAAACAAAACGACAACAACAATTTTGAATTTTCTGCAATCTGGTTTTTGTTATGGAGTCAAGACAAGGATAAAACAGTATAAAACAGTAAAGCAGCTTACACATAACTAAACTTTCCACCAATTTCTTTCTAGTCTTGAAATTGAGAATAGAACGATTGGAGTATAGGAGTCTTAGGCTTGCATATGTAGCTTTAGATATATTACTGACGTGGTGATGAAATCTAAGATTTACGTCTAAAGTAACACCTAGACTTTTTGCATGCGTGACGAGTGGAATATGGTCATTATTTACCCTCAAATCAATCATCCTTTCAAAATGCTCATAGCTGGTTTTGGGACAGATCAACACCGCAAAACTCTTGGTAGGATTGAGCTTCAAACAGTTAGCCTTGCAATAGTCAGTTATATTTACCAGATCTAAATTTATTTTATACGAAGCTTGATCCACATTAGTAGAGTCAAAAGTGAAGGTCAATTGTGTATCGTCTGCGTAAGTATGAATACTACAAAACTGTAATACAGTATGCAAGTCAAAAGTATAAACTAAATATAGTAAAGGACCAAGCATGGAACCCTGAGGAACACCAGAAGCAACATCGGCACTAAGAGAAACTCCTTGGCTTGTTCTTATTCGTTGCTTGCGATTATTTAAGTATGATTTAAAAAAGCAAAGAGGAACGTCAGATAGTCCGTGTTATATGTTATATGTTTTGTGACTGGTACCAAGAGTTGACAGATCCCACACATGTGTCACTAACATAAATATAACCTAGAATGTGTACTCGTGAAAAAAGAAAAACATGGCAAAATTGTAGTTTTTTTGCAGGTTTTAGGTTTGCTGGTAGCTTTAAGGCATATATTTGGGAATTTCTTAATCGCTGTGAATATAGTGTGGATGTTTGTTCAGTTCCTGAACAACGAAAAATATTCAACTTTATGGATGTATGGATATCAAAAAACCTGAATGGTTTTGTGGGAATATCAATCTTAGGTGCCATAATGGTTCTGATGAACGGCAAGTAAATGAATGAATGTTTGGAAACGAGCAATATCTTTTGGTAGAGCCTGTCATCAAGTAGGTGCTTAATGGCTATCTGCAATAGGTTTATAGGAAAAAACACCCAGTATCACATATCAATTGAAGAAAATAATATAAACATGAATAAAAAATCAACAATAGTAATTAAAACATGGATTTTATTCAAAAGTGCAACATTTCTTTAAATTTTGACGGAATTATTTGTAATTTCTTCAACAAGCTGGTGATGTTTCAATGACAAGCTGTCATCTCATACTTTGGCAGTATTTTGTTTTCAACATTTCATAGAATAACGGACTGTTGTTGGTGAAACTGGCCCTTAATATTTTAATCACTTTTAGGCTGTAACCCTAAGGGTACAAGGGTAGGATTGTCATCTGTCATCCGTCCGTCAGTCAAGTTTTCAGTCGCTATGTCAGAGGCACTGATGCCACTCCTCCCTCCCCCCGCCAAGGACGAGAAGAACACCTTCCTGAACATGAAGTCTTTTGACCGCCGTTGATCTACTTGACGCCATTTTTTATTAAACCTTTGTTGGCCTCCTCTAAATTAAAACAAAATATTAAGGAAAGCGAATCCTAATTAAAAGTACAAAAACCACCTACTTATTTAATTTAATGCCATAATTAACTAAAATCGTCCGAGGTGACGTCCAACAACTGCGGTGTTTACCCTATACAACCTTGATTCCTTTGTACGCCTCCCCATTGTTTCGAACGTTTCTGTGGAATGCTGACAATCTGCGTCTGTCTAGATCAACGAAATGGCTGATGCGGGCCTGGCAAGGAAGCGGGAACTAAATGAGATTTCAGGGAATGTACCATCGCAGGCCTTTCACAAAATGAATGTCGGATAAAAATAGAACCGCACAATCGAACTGCCGGCAGGCACGCAACAGATATTCCCTTAAATATGGGATACGATGCTTGATTGGGATCAACCTTTAAACGTTATCCATGTTTATACGCTACCGTTGCTTGGATAGAAGGATTCGCATCGCATTTTCAAGATTGCGTATGTTGATGCACCACAGAAGAACTTTGCACCTTAAGGTATGCGTGTTGCTGTCTACTGAGCATATTCCTGCGGGCCGAATCAATTTTGAAAATAAACAGATAATGACGAATGTACAGACGTGTGAGGCGTGGTGTTTGGAAACATTCGAATTTTATAAGTATTTTCTAGTTAAATACCAATAAGTAAAAAAAATGTCAGTAAATTATTGTCAATATTTAGCAGTACCTATAAGTAGTATGAATGATAACAGGAAACAAATTCCCCATGAGATCGCGATTATTATCAGACGTACACTTGGACGCAGTTTTTGAAAATATACTAAGTGACATATAAATCTGAACACCCAGTTTAAATGGTTTTATTTTAATAAAAGTTGGTGAATGTATTTATCTTACTGTAAATAACAAGTGAAAAAATGTTCAGCCTTATCAGTTGGACATTCCGGTTTTTATACTACTTTTTTTTTAATTCACTAACGCTCGAAAAATGAATATTTCAGCCTCAGTAAAGAATCAACGTTGGCGGATTTTGGTCCTTGACATCCTTTACGATCGGTTACGATGCCTAGAGTACGGAGACCTGTACGATTTCGTCAACTTAGTGAGTTTGATAGGGGCCGTATAGTGGGACTTCGGGAAGCTGGACTTTCTTTTCGGGCAATTGCAGTTAGAGTGCAAAGAAGTGTAGACGCTGTGGGTAGGTGTTGTCAGGCATGGCTTCAAGAAGGCCGTACGCAAAGAGCAAGGGGCACTGGACGCCGCCGTAGAACAACAGACCGTGAAGATCGCCGCCTAAAATTATTGGCCTTAAGGGACCGTTTCTCCACTACCAGGTCCATTGCAAATGAATGGTTTACAGAACATGGAAGACCTCTTGGCATGCGAAGTGTTTACCGACGAATGAGAAGTTTTGGCTTGTTTTCATACCGGCCACACTGGGTCCTCCCTTTAACTCGAGAACACCGACGTAATCGCCTTGAGTGGTGCAGACAACGGTCACTCTGGGATCAGGAATTGAACAGTATTGTCTTTAGTGACGAGTCTCGATTTTGTTTAGGCATGCACGATGGTCGTGCCAGGGTTAGAAGGCGACGTGGTGAAAGGAGGAATCCACAGTTTTTTGTTGAAAAGTTCATCACACTGTTGGAGTTATGGTTTGGGGTGCTATAGCTTATGGTTCCAGGTCACCTTTAATCTTCATCAGAGGTAACATGAACGCGCAGCGTTATATCCACGAAGTTCTAGAACCCCATCTTGACACCCTGGCAGATCCAACTTTCCAACAAGATAATGCCCGACCACATGTTGCAAGAGTCACAATAGACTTCTTTCAACATAATGATGTCACATTGTTACCATGGCCACCAAGATCTCCCGACTTATCCCCAATTGAGCACGTGCGGGATATGATGGGTAGGAGATTGCTCAATTTGCAACGTCCTCCTCAGACTCTAGAAGCACTTCGAGAGGAGTTGGTGGTTCCCTGGAATGAGATACCACAGGAGGACATTGATCAGCTGATCAGAAGCATGCCTAGGCGCGTTGGAGAATGCGTAGCACATCAGGGTGCATCCACACATTATTAAAGGTCAAAGGGCTTTAAAGCAGTGCAATCATTTTGAAATTTTTATCATCTACTTATTATGCTTCATTAAGTACTTATACAAAATTTTATTAAAATAAAACCTTTTAAACTGGGTGTTCGGATGTATATGTCACTTAGTATATTTCCGCTGATAAATTGGCTGGCATGGTAGCGCAGCATTAATTTGGTTATTGTCCGCCAGAGAAAAATAAAGGCTTTTTATTACTATCGGCATCATGACATGTATACAGGGTGATTTACAAGTCTTGACCAAAAATGAAACGTCATATACAGGACGCTCCTTAAAATGCGGTTGTGTGTATGATCTTTAATTTTTGGTAACGACTTGTGGATTACCCTGTATAGAATAGTCAAAGTAGTGAAGCTTTCTATCGATAAAGGTACAAAATATTACGGTAATTACGTAAAGCTTGAGGAAATATATTCAGATTTATAGGATTGTGTGCTAACCAAACATAGACCTTTATAACATATGATTTTTCCGCGATTTAGTTAATATCTCCAAGAAAGTGCCGTAATATTCGCTTGATCTTTTAAATTTTAACTTGTGTTCGACAAATTCAATTTACATATTGTCAGATATCAATATCCTAGACAAGTAATTTTTACAAGTTGTTTCACGGTGTTCGATCTCTTATAACATGTCTACAGAAAGAGTTAAGCTAATGCTGACTGAGCGGTGTTTTAATAATTGAAGCAAATGTGGTGATTTATCTAAATTTATCTTAATGTATGACTTAATATATGATAGCCCCACCGTACCCAATGGGCGCTTAGGCCTTAGGCCTTCGTGGTAGTTGGAGTATAAAAAAAAATGATAAGTCTTATGTAGTTATTTAATATATTTATTTATTCATCGCACTGCCTTGATCTTGATTGATATTACTTCATGGTCACAGTACCTCTTCTGATACAGAACTGACAAACGTGCTTCCTGTAAGCATTTCCGTGCTATTTCATGATCCGCGTCTGCATGCGAACAATCTCGATTTAAATCGGCATATACACAAATTCACTTATCCGAATGTACGGTCGCATGAGCAATTATCTAAATTGAGGCATGATATACGTTCCAAGATTGCATAAATTTATTCTGAAAACATTCACACACGCACGCACGACGAACGATTCTCTTTTTCTAATGTTAACATTCAACTCCATAAATTTGCACTTATTTTTGTCCCGCTGAGTGAAATATTGGGTCGATATGGTAAATGTATGTGTGAACTAGGTACAATTAAGCAATGTCTAGGGTTTTTCACTGTGAAGTGGCGTTCATTCGCTGATATCAGTTTTTCTTAAAATAAACCAGAAATACACGTGATGACTTGGATAAGGGAAACTATACACGGTGTTTTAAGGGTAGAGGAGAATCGTAGATACAGGATGGGCCATAATGAAGCTCACTTTAAAAAATAATGTAATTGAAAGCAGGTTTGCTTATATTTATGATATAAAAAGACATTTTTCTCTAATCGCTCAACAACCACAAATTTATTTATAATAACGCAGTACCTCTCGGAAGCCATTGATAGTAATGAGCAAGTTGACGTTATTTATACCGACTTTTCGAAGGCTTTCGATAAAATTAACCACAAAACTTTAAAAAATAAGTTAGGTGCACTTGGTTTCACAGACGATGCTAGGAAGTTGATGAAATCTTACTTATCCGATCGTAGACAATTTGTTAGCTATAATGGATTCCAATCTGAGACGTACTTGACACCTTCTGGAGTTCCTCAGGGGTCTAACCTGGGACCATTACTGTTTTTGATATTTATTAATGACCTCTGTGACTCAGTTGAATGTGAACGCCTATGCTTTGCTGACGACCTAATAATTTATTTATCTGATGATTGTATCAAGCCACAACACCAATTAAATTTTGTGCTGTCTTGGTGTGTAGAAAACAAGTCGGAGCTTAATGTGAGGAAGTGTAAAATAGTCAGCTATACCAGGAAAATTAATGTTTGCAAATATCCGTACTCTATTGATGGGTCTGTGCTAGAAAGATGCTCTGATGTAAGTGATTTAGGTATAATCTATGATCAAAAGTTAACTTTTAGTCAGCATATAAATAAAAAAGCATCAGAAGCGGCTTATGGTTTCATAGTAAGGAACTTTCATAACATAAAGTCTATTAAGCTATTATATTATGCTTATGTTAGATCCAAAGTCGAATATTGTAGTATTATTTCGAGCCCTTACTAGGAATGCTATAGCACAGCTATTGAAAGAGTACAACGGAAGTTTATGAAGTTTGTTCTGTTTAGGATTGATGGGACATATACAAGTAATGAGGAACTATGTAGGCGCTTAGACATGTTGACTTTGAAAAAACGTAGGTACTGTGCCTCAATAATATTTGGCTACAAAATGATCAACAATTTAACTGATTGCCCCTTGATCCTGGAACAGATCAATTTTCGTACTCCAACGTTTGCATCTCGCAATCATAAAATATTCGGGCTTTCTAGAGCTAGGACAGACATTCTTCTCAAGTCACCGTTATATGTAATGTGCTCTAACTTAAACAGAATTGGATGTTACTGTGATATATTTACGACAAATGTTAATTACCTGCTAAAGGCAGCTAAGGCTTATTTGGACCAATAGCTCATTTTACAAATGTATACCTGTGTTGCATTTGTTGTTTTCTTTTCGCTTTTGTGTTATGTTTATAAATTGTCCTATAAAAGGGAAACTGTTGGACAATAAAGCTATTATTATTATTATTGACAACTTATGTTTTGAAAATGGTATCATCAATACGGCCTCCAGGTCTCCGAGAACACGGAACATCAAATTATCGAGGTTGAAAACTTACCTCAAGGGGGAAAGTCGAAAACATTCAAACGGCTGTAACCGACCTACTGAAGGCTACCTATTCCAATATCGGAACAGCATTGCAATGAGGAATGGAATAACTGTTTCCAACACTGTA